CCACAGCTGCCAGAGCCAAGAGACCCCAGCCGAGCCCCTCCCCAGCCCCCTCCCCTGGTTCTGTGTTGCCTGGCCCGGATGCCCTGTGCCTGCATGGCCCGCCTCAGGCCAAAGCACCCGCGGGCACCGTTTGCCACCCCCTCCCTGCCCTCCCTCCTCCAAGCTCCTCATTGCCGCTAACGAGGCTCCCTGCCAGCACCGTGTACCTGTGACTGACGCCCGCGACTGGCGCAGCACGGCCCCCCCCTTCCCCCTCCCCGGCTTGGCTGAGCTGGTGTGAACACGTGTGAGTGTGTGTGTGCATCCAGGTGTGTGCACAGCTGGAAGCCAAGCCTGCAGCTGCATTTGGGAGAGAGGCATGGGGGGGGGTGCCCCTGTGTGGGCGCATGTAGGGGTGTGCATATGTGTGTGAATGGTGGTGGTGTGCAGGGGTATTTTTCACACCCCATCCTTGTGCCTGGGGCCCAGGACCCCTGGCTTCTTTGGGGTGTGCGGCCGGGAAGGGGCACGTGGGGGGGCTGCTGGCTTAGCCTGTTCCCTGCTCCAGGCTCTGCTCCAGCTGGGGGAGCAGAGAGGTTGGGGGCACAGCTGCAGCGGGGAGGGGGCCTGCACAGTGCCATACGGCACGGGCGCGGTGCCAGGCACAACTCACGGCCTGCCAGCCGGCATCAGCGCAGCCATCCATCTTGCCCCGCGCTGGCCCTGGCCAGCTGCTGGGGGGGCTTTGTATCAGCTGTCTCAAGACCCCCGGCTTTGGGACTTCCAGGGGTCTCAGTGCCCCCTGCCACCAATGGGTGGGGGGTCTGGATGGGGGCAGCAGGAGAGGGTCGGGGCTGGGCCGGCTGCACTGATCCCTCTCCCCCTTGCAGGTGCCCGGCGTGGCTGCGCAGCCCCCCAAGACACTGGGCTACGTGGAGCTCGGCCCCTCAGGGCTGCTCAAGCCAGGCCCCTATGGCGCCTTCAAGCCGGCCGGGCGTCTCTTCACGGGCGCTGAGCCCAAGGCTGAGCCTCCTGCCGGCCCCTGGGCCTGGCCATGGCCCCAGAACCGGACGGGCACGGAGGGGGGTGGTCCAGCGCGGCGCAAAGCTGGGCGCGCCCGCAAGCTCTTCGGCTGGGGCGACTTCTATGTGAACATCCGCACGCTCAAGTTCAGCCTCCTGGTGACGGGCAAGATTGTGGACCACGTCAACGGCACCTTCAGCGTCTACTTCCGCCACAACTCGTCCAGCCTGGGCAACGTCTCGGTCAGCATCGTGCCGCCCTCCAAGGTGGTGGAGTTCGACCTGGTGCTGCCGCGGCCCCTGGTGCCCATGCCCGCCCCGGTGCCGGCGCAGTCCACGCTGCCCAAGGCCTTCAACTGCCACGTGGAGTACGAGCAGACCAAGCGTGCCCGCAAGCCGCGGCCCTGCCTGTATGACCCGGCGCAGGCGTGCTTCACAGAGCACACGCAGAGCCACGCTGCCTGGCTCTGCGCCAAGCCCTTCAAAGTCATCTGTGTCTTCGTCTCCTTCCTCAGTCTCGACTACAAGCTGGTGCAGAAGGTTTGCCCCGACTACAACTTCCAGAGTGACCGTCCCTATTTTGGCTGAACCCCCCCGCTCCCCCCTCCCCTCAGCCCCGGGGGCAGAGCGGAACGGACGTGAGCTCCCCGTGGGCACCCGGAGCTTTGCATGGCACCGCGTGGGGCAGGAACGGGGCTGCCAGGGCAGCCCCACCATGTGCCCGCCTGGGGCGGGGCTGCACCCTGGACTACAGACCGGGCCAGGAGCGGGGAGACACCCATGGACCAGCTTAACACCCCACAGCCTGAGCACCGCAGGGGGCCGGACAGATGGACAGTGCTACTCCATTCAGCCCCCGCCCTCACAGGCACCATGCGGGGATGGACGGATGGACGGATGCTGCGGGGGGTGGGGGCTGAGAGGGACAGGGGGTGGGACTGCAGTCGTGGCGTGGAGGTGACACATGTGGGGTATGCGTGTGTACATTGGTGTGTGTCGGTGTGTGAAGGGACTATTCAAGCCAGGGGCTGCACTGGGAGATCCTTGCCAGGTTGGGAGGTGGCCCTGCTGCCTGCCAGGCCCCGGTGGGGCAGGGGGCTGTACTGCCCAAGCCCCCCCCCGTCCTGCCAGCTCCAGACAGGAGGGGGCCACCACGTGTGTGTGCACACACGTGTTGGCACAGGCTGGACGTGTGTGTACATGCGTGGCCAGGAATGGGGGTTGTGTGCATGCATGAGTGTATGTGCATGTATGTGTGTAGGACCACCCCAGGCTGTGCACACACATGGAGCCGCACGCGCCTGTATCTGGGTATCCCCATGTGCAGCTCTGTGGGCTATAGGACCTGGCCTTCTCCTTGCCCCTTCCTGGGGACCCCGCTACACCCGCCGGCCCTGGGGGTCCATGCAGACCCCCCAGCGGGCAGTGCCCCCTGCCCAGGCCCTGTGTGTCCCCCGGCCTGCAGCTCCCCCACCCCTCAGGCTCCCAGGCCTGGTGCAGCCCGCCCCCCCTCCATCCCCGTAGGATGTGTGTATGTGCGTGTGCGTAAGTGAAGAAGCAGCGTGTCACGGACGGGGGGCTGTGCCTGGGCACGCAGGTGGGTGCTACCCCCCAGATGCCATCTGCTCCCGGTGCCCTGCCCCAGGCTGTGCTGGAGGGTGTGGGGAGCCCCCAGCCCCTCCCCAGGAGGCACCGGGCAGAGACTTCTTCATATTTTTATAACAAAAATGTGGGAAAGAAAAGATGGAAAAGAAACTCAATAAAAAGGACTGGTGGAGTCCCGCCCATGCCCAGTGATTGACAGCTTATGTGCCCTGCCCCCTATGTGATTGACAGTGGTATGCCCCACCCCCTCTGTGACTGGCAGCTCTCTGCCTACCCCCTTTGGGGGGGCTTGGTGGCAGCTTTTCCCTTGTG